CTCATGCATTGGGATTTTTCAGAATGAAGCTGTGACCCCGCTGATCTCTGTGTGGCACTGCATCCATTGATTTGGTTGGAAGGATCCACCATAATTTCTTCTCTTTTGTGAGTATTTTTTATACTCTCTGAATTCTGCTGTTTGCAGGGGTGGTTGTTCTTGCTATCTGAACTACGGCCAGTTTGTTTCAAAGAAAAAAGGGAATTGGTTTAATTGTTGCACCAGTGGAGATATATCGCCTGCAATTTGCTCATCTGTCAGTCCCAACCCCTCCCAAGACCTAGAGAAAGCGTTTCTTTACCTTTATTTGATGAATTTCTGCTCAGAACCTTCCACAGATGTGGGCCACCATTCATTGAGGCCATCTTGGGAGAAGAGTACTTTTCCATTTACCTCCCAGGGCCTTGAGCTAATAGATGTTAAGGAGTTTTAAAAGTTAAAAGCTTTCAGTAAGAAGGACTTTGCAATAAACTCTTGGAGCGCCCAGCACTGACCTCCTTGAGTGTGAAGTAGAAAGGCAGGAAGAATGCTCCCTGTTTGCATCCATCGATTTCATTCCACCTCTGTGACCCACAGAAACCAATTATCCTCGGAACAGGTGGCCTTGAAGGACTATTTCACTGGCCCCCACCGGGGGAAAAAAGAAATCTGTCACACTGGTTCAGACCAGTGTGAGAAAGAACTAATATGAGGGCTGACTAATGATTCATAAAAGTAGCAAACTTATTGACTGATCTAATTCTTAGTCATGAAGTCTCCATGTCCCATCCATACCGAAATCAAAGCAATTACAGACTGAAACGAAGCTGGGGTCCTTAGTGCGGAAAATGCTTGTTTTAGCCCAAGATGGGGGCTCAAGGTGAGTGCGCCCTTAAACCCCTGTAATGAAAGTGCCTCAAAGCCTGCAGTAATTGCTGCGGGCTGAGACAAGATTTCTGACTGCGCTAATGATGCCCTTGTTCCTCTGCTGAGACCCTACTCCCATTTTCAAGAAGGGCCAGGATTGCAGAAGGATGCATGCAGCTCGAAGACAGGAATGCATTAACACTTGCATCTGCATCTGAGCACTTTTCATTCTTCCAATGTTGCCATCGTCTTTTAGTCTTCTTCCTTTAATTGTCAAGTGTTCAGGACCTGGAAATTTTAGGCCAGTGTGTATTTAAACATGTGAGCAAATGAAATGGAAACAGATGCAGTATTTTCTTTCTTTTTGATTCTTCTTTTCTTTTTCTTTATAGTGAGGACTTTTCATGGCTAGGAACCATAATTCATATTTTCTTCACACTCCAAAATATTCTGCTGGAACCAAGTTCGGGCTGGAAAACAGATTTCTCTAGGCTCTGGCAGGTTGGGTGGGATCGGGGTGTTGTAAACTGCTGTTCAATTACCGACTACTAGAAAGGGAAAGTCCAGCAAAGCTTTCTCCTTTGTACCTGGCTTGGGCCAGATCTTGGGATGTTAGTGCTCTTCGGTCTTTGGAGCCAGAAACACACAACATTTCTCATGTAACTAGAGCAAGGCCCTTTTGCCAAAGCAATTTCTTGCCTCGGTACAACAGGTAGGAAGAAGAAGAAGAAAAAAAGAAACTTGGCTCTTCTCATTTCTAGGGGTTGCTTCTTTGGAGGTGGAGGGCAAGAGTTTGAAATTAAATATTCGGAAGAGAAATCAGAGAGAGGCAAAATCTCCAGCAAGAGAATGTCCATTATATCCCAGTGATGGGATTGCCAATAAAGACTGGCTAGGCGTGCTTCCTTCTCCCCCCTCTTCTCTTCCTCCCCGGCACCTTTGGGAGTTCAATAACTCCCCCGGAGGGAAAGCGCTCCATTCTCTCCAGGTCTACGTAGTCCTGGCTGCTCAGCTACCAACTGCCATCCCTGGGGACTAAAAATTAATTTTGTTTCCTGCTCCATGCGGCTGATCCCAGCTGCCCTGTGGCTCAGCTGGGCGCTGGGGTCAGATGCACGAGACCACCAGGTGCTTGGAGTAAATGATCTGGGTCTTGGGCCACGGAGACTTCTAACAATCCGGAAATCGCATTTTCTACTCAACTCAATTGCAGTGCGTCCAGCTATCTCTCTGCACCAAGATTCAATTATCGGGGCCAGCGCATGTTCTCTCCCTAACCCACCCCCCTCACATGTGCTTTTTGGGGAGCTCTTTAGCATCCCCTTTTCCTGGCGGCTGTTTGTTGGTGATTTGGTTCCAGTAAGCAAGGAAGAGAGAGGATTTCCTTCTCATTGTGCGCTAAAGGTGTGGGGACCTGAATAACTCCGGTGATGGGTGGCACTATGGAATAGCACTGGAGTGTCAGAAGACCCTGATTTTAGCTGTGCGGCCCTGGCAAGTCACTTAGTCCTCTTGAGCCTCAGTTTCCTCTTCTGGCAAGAATAAGTTAAAGAAGATGAGCTCCGGGTCTCGCCATCTGGTTGTAAAGTCCCCAAGAGTCTCTTAGTGACTCTCCCTGAGGATCCCAGAGCACCTCCTTGACAGGGTCCATTCATTCTCAAGAAGTGATTGCAGCTGGGCGTGGTGGGCCATGCCTGCAATCCCAGCATTTGGGAGGCTGAGGCAGGAGGATTGCCAAGAGTTTGAGGCCAGCCTGGGCTACACAGCAAGACTCTGTCTTAAAATAAAAGAGTAATTGCACAGGCACTGGAATACAAAGTCATATTAAAGGCCATGTATGCCTCAGTGACTGGTGTGGCTGGAATTCATGCCTGATGTTTGGGTCTGGGGTCTTTTGCATCCCCTGCCTCAGGAAGTCCAACAATGGCTGTGGGTCCTGCATGGTTGAACTCATGCAGGGGATCCTGCAGGCAAGGCGGGGATGGAGGACAGGAAATAGTGACTGTGCCCCAGGAGCCATTTGGACCCTGTCCATAAGAGGTTGCCTTCCCAGGACCCCCGCCTCTCGCTCTTCAGTGCATGAGGCTGTGAATGGAAACAGGATCCAAGTGTTGCTGATTTAGTGATGTTTGCCCAAATGCTGTTTCCTAAGAACTGTTGGATGCCCAAGATGCTTTCGGAGTCTGTTTGGTTTTTCCAACAAGCCCGTTTCTTTTCCTGGAAGTGGAATGTGGCACGAAGCCGGTGGAATCTGAACCCAAGTCTATTCCAACTCCTTTCTAAACTTGGATAGCACTGCACTGCCATGACAGCCCCTTCCTCCCGCCCCTCCTTGGGGTCCTGGGAGGGCTGCGGCTGTCAGTGAGCACACAGACCGGTATACAGCAGTCTTCCTGCCTAGGAGTCGGACTGCATGTTGCATTTCATCTGCAAACCACACCGGGCGGAAGGGTAAGCATCTCCATCGTAAAAATGAAGGAGGAAGACTAGAAGTTGTAAATGGCAAGCTCCCCATTCAGAACAAGGCCCAGAGCCCTTGCTCTTTCTACTGTCACACACGCACATTTGCCATGAAGATGTGCACTTTTATAGACCAAGAAAAAATAGCACCACCTCAGCCCTATGGCAGCTCTGCCTCCTGCTGTTCACCCTCTGTCTTTCCCTTCCCTTCTGGCTTCCCAGTTTTCCAGGCAGGCAGACCAGCCCACACCGGGAGGAAGCCCCTGGCTTTGTCTCCCTTGTCTGGCTGCTCTACTTCAGGATGCTGGCCAGTGGCTACTGGACCCAATTGTCCTTACCTACCTCCGTCCTCGTCATGCTCGGGAGAGTCCCTCTAACCCAACCCTAGACAGGGGCTCTGGAGTAAGAAACACAATCATTCAATGCCTCTGTCACTCACTGGCCCACCCAGGTTCCCTTGTAAGCCACAGCCACACACAAGTCCCTCTGTGCCCACTAACCCCACCCCAATTCACTCGGCTTCTTTCTGTCCAGCATTGATCACATGCCCACCAGTGCCACCCTCTTCTCCAATTATACCCAGGCCCTCTTTCTGAGTCCCAGCTACAAACTGGGTACATTCCATAGAACAGATAGATAGACAGGTTAAAGCCATGGAGGCTTGAACAACCACAGTTGGCTCCATGCGGAAAAAACTGGAAGCATTAGATTTTTATTTTTTTGGTAGTGGTACTAGAGATGGAACCCAGGGGCACTCTACATTTTTAAATTTTGTGACAGGGTCTTACTAATTTGCCCAAGTTGATCTCCAACTTGTAATCCTCCTGTCTCAGCCTCCCAGGTAGCTGGGATTACAGGCACACAAGGCCACAGCAGCAGAAGCAGCAGATTTTGACATCTCTTCTTTTTCTTTTGCTTAAAAAGTAGATGTGAAAAGTGAAAAATGTAGTAGCACCCCAGGCCAAGTAGCATGTTTAAGACTGCATGGCAGGTGACACCAGGATGTCAGAGAACATGACAGCAGCACTGGGGATGTGAATAGCATAATGCCACACATCAGCACTGCCGGCAGAGCCAGGATAAGTTGGCAGTGGGCACAGAAACACTGCCTGGGTCAGTAGATGCCAGGAGGAGCTGGTGTGTCATCATTAGCACGACTAACATAAACGCTATCAAGGCTGTGACCCAAGTCACCTTGTCTTCCGGCCACCTCTCTGCCCTCTAACTGAACTTGGGTTGGCAGCTCTTCCTTCCCCTGCTGGTGTAGTGGAATTTCTACCTGCTCATCGGTACTGCAAAGCGCTTTAAAAGATTCAGGCCTTAAATCCCAGAGACACGTCTCACAGGGAGAAGGCACTTAGAATCTACTAACTCACAGAGAGCCACAATCTGTTATTCTGTGCCTCAGCTTCGCCATTTAAAATGGGACACTCATTCCCATATCTTCTAAAGGATGGATGAGAAAATAACTTCATGTCCATGAAGAATGTTGAAGCCTCGAACTCACCTTTACTTTTTTGTTTGTTTTTTGAGACTGGGTTTCACTATGTAGCCCAAGCTGGCCTTGAATTTGCAGGGATCCTCCTGCCTCAGCCTCCCATGTGCTGGGATTACAGGCGTGCGCCACCATGCCCAACTCCCCTCCACTTCTAGGCAAGTGCTTTGCCACGAAGCTATGATGGTGTCCTTACCTATCCGTTCCTGCTGAAGCCCTTCCGGTCCCCAGCACTGAGCTGGAAGGAGGGTACTCACTGCCCTTCAGATGGAGCCCTGCACCTCTGACTGACAGCGGCTCTGCTCCTGTTCCAGGAAAGGTTAGAGTGAAGTGTCGCCTGGGCCTTTGACTGACAGTTCTCCAAAGGGAACCGGTTCTGCTCCCTCAACAGTCCCGCCCTTTCACCAAAACCCCTGTCTCCTGGCGACCCTGGTCTGGTGTTTCCTGGAAACACAGCTGAGGAAAGGACCTCTCTCCTCCCTTCCTACTTGCTGTGGCTCCCACCCAGAAAACCCAGCATCTCCACCTCTGGGGCCCCACCTCCTTTCTCTGGCCACCACACAGCCCGGTTGTGGGGATGGAAACACCCATCGGTGGGCACAGGTCCTGACCCATGTGTGGGGTGTGTGTGCGTAAGTGCACACACGCACACACACGAACACTAGTACACACTGCAGGCGCGCACACCTCCCCCTCCCATACCCCTTGGGCACAGTCATCCTGTCCCCCCCAGCCCCCCCAGCCCCCCTAGCGGCAGCTCCAGAGCAGACAGCCCCCCCCTCCCAGCCCCACAGCGCCAGGGCGGGGCCGGGGAGCTGCCGGATAATGAGTTGAGAACTTCCATCCTCTGTCTCTCTGGCTGGTGACTGACACAAATGGAATTCATCTTTAATCATCTGTTAACTCGTTTTCTATTATAGCTCTTTAATAGCACCATAGATATTCTTAATGAAGCATGATTTAAGGTATTTACAGCGCATAGACCGACAGACATCACTCACAGTGTGCAGGTAATGAGGCGGAAAACGGCTTTTGAATTTCCCCCAAAAGAGAAAGCAGAGAGAGACCGAAAGAGCTTTAGCACTGGGGGTGAAGGAAAAAAAAGGATGAAAAGCCCTGTGTTGTAGGGTTTGTTTTAAAATGTTTAGGCATTTAAAGTCATTCTAGCGCTTTGGAGGTGTTTGGCTCGCAAAGTTCAGCAATTACCATAGCCCAGGGCAGCAGGCTCAGGTTCGGGGCTGCTCAGGCAGGCGCACAGGCTCGGCCTCCCGGGTTCCCGCCATCGCTGGCTTCCCTGGCAGTGTTCCCTGCAGCACCGGAAGCAGGGAGACTGTCCCCCAGGGGAATGGGACAGGCCTGGGGACACCTGGGGCTGGCCGGAGGAGCCTCTGCTCTCTCCTTCCAGGGAAAGCTGGTGAAGGGCAGAGGGGACTGTGCCTGGCGTCCCAACCTACCCTCTCCTACCAACCAACAAGGTACCCCAAGACACCCAGCTACGGAGTGACAGAGCCGGGACTACCCTCAAGGCCACCTCTCCCTCAGGATCCTCTTGCCAGTCCACAGCCGGGCCCTGTTGTTCCAACAGGACCCCATAAAATCCCCTAGAAAATCAGGATTGGGTGGGGCTTTCTCAAGGTTGTACAAGAGGGGACTCGAAAGGGCTGAAGGCCACCGTGTGAGGGAAAGGAATCCCACCTCTGCCCCTGGCCCTCTCTGCCTCTGAAGGACAACCCAGCCCTCCTTGCAGCCAAGGAACACAGCAGAGAAAAGTGACTAGAGGAGCAGCAGGGACTTGCTCACAGCAGCAGTGATGCTACTTTTTGAAGGACAGGGACTCACTATGCAGCCCAGGCTCACCTCAAACTCCTGAGGGCTGAGACTAGAGGGATGTTACTTCACCCTGAGGCCCAGGTCTCCCTCTTGTCATCCCCACTGCTCCCCTCTTGTCCCTCTGCTCCTGCTGAGTCTGCTTGGCCTGACCCCAGGATAAGGACTAGGCAGACATGTGTCTCCACGACATCTCATCAAATCCTCTCTGCACCTGACCGAAGTGGGCCCTCTCAGCCATGGTAGATCGGGGCAGAGAACCAGAGACCCCAGGCCTGGAGGTCCTGCTCTTCTGGAGCAGCAAGCTACGCTGCTTGAAGTGGTTCCAGCTCGGGGGCAGGTCTGGGCTCTGGGCTGCTCTCCCCTTTTCCTCCCCCAGAGGTGGAAGGGATGTGGGGGCCGGGGCTGGGCACCCAGTCACCTGGCTCAGCAGCCAGAAGAGAGGGCAGGCCAGGGTGGGGCGGGAAGCGGGCAGGCCTTCTCATGATGGGAGACCAGGTTGCCCATGCCGGCTTCACGAAGTCAGTGGCATCTTCCAATCCAAGGCCCAGCACGTTTAAAAGCAGTGGCTCCTCACTCCCAAAAGCTCTAGTTCACAGTTTCCACTCTGCAAGGTGACACAGAGAGGAAAAGGGACTGGCCCTGGCCACACGGGGTCAGAATTCTGGATCCGGCACCTCCTGGGCTATGGCCTCGCACTAGAGGCTCCATCTGGCAGCTCTGCCATGAGCTCTGCTCCAAGTGGGCACGGGTGCCAGCAGGAGGCACCCTCCAGTGCCAGCCCGGAGGTGGGGTCCCCTAGGAGAAGGGCATGGAGCCCCACTAAGAGAGATCCCCTCTAGCCTTTCTGTGTCTTTCTGTTTTGTTTTTGTGATGCTGAGAATGGAACCCAGGGTTGCGCATGGCAGGCGAGCGCTTGCTCCCTGAGCCAGTCATAGTTTGTCTGCACCTTTCAGAAGCGTCTGTCCACACCCAAGCCACCCAGCACAGAGGAACAGAGTGCTAGAGCCAGAGCTCCGAGGCCAGGGCCTTGCCAAGTGTGTTCCATCCCGCCAGTCTGTGCACCCATGGACTCCTTCCTGCCCAGCCAGGTGCCGTGCCAGGTGCTGAGGGTAACAGAGGCGCTTGCCAGAGAAGCCTGAGGTCTGCTCGGAGGACAGATTTCCAAAGACACAATGTTTGATGGTGGCTTGAGGAGGTGAGAGATGCCTTCCAGGCACAAGGGCAGAAGGAGTGTGACATTTAGGATGGGTTTCTGTGCCTGAGGATGGTGAGGCATTTCTCCCAACAGGCGGCAGAGCCAGGGGTGGAGCCAAGCAGCCTTCTAAACTGTGCAGCTTTGAGAATACCAGGGCTGGAGACCGTGGCTCTCTGCCCACCACTATATGGCCTATTCCGGCCTCCAAGGCTGGGACAGCTTCGGGGGCAAGGGGCTGAGGGCCAGACAGGGAGTAGAAGGCCAGAAGGGGCCCTGGGAACTGAAGTCCCCTCCCTCCACTCCTGCACCCACCCTGGGATGCTGAGTGACCATGGCTCCTTGTAACACTCACCTGTACAGCGCTTTGGATTGTTGTGACCTTGACTCACACCTCCTCCTTGCTAATGGGCCCTGGTTGAAAGTGCTGAGGGTCAGATAGGAGTGGCCCAGCTTTCTTCGTGCCAGGGCGTATGCCAGTTGGTTTATGGATTAGCTTCCCCAGGTCAAGTGCTCATCATGGTCCAATCAACTAAGGACTAAGGGATAAAGCAGGGAAGTGGTCAGGGTCAGGTCCCAGACATGGTGGCCTCCTACCGGCGACAAGGAAGCTCGCCTGCCAGTGGGATAGAGAGAGAACCATCAGGACCAACTCTCCCAGCGGGAAAGAAAGGAGACGGTAGACCACAGTTTGTTATGTAAAAGTGCAGAATGTCACATCAGAAATGGGATACTGGAAATTTTCTCACTGAGCCGAGCCTTGTGCTCAAGTGATTTCTTTGTGGCAAGGTCTCCTCCTAATTTATAGTAACTTGTGTTTCAGCTGAAAAGTGCCAGTTTACAGCTGCCTAAGTGTCTGGAGGATTTTGACTTCCCTTCTATAATTATTTCTGGGTCCACCCCAGCACTCTGGTTAATTATCTCCCTAGGCTATTTCCTTCCCCAGCCTCATCAGGAAGGGCTCTGCCCAGAATCAGCACCTCTGTACTTTCCAAGGAGGCTTTCGGGAGACCTTGCTCTGGAGACAGGAAAGCGAGACCCCCAAGGGGGCGGGGGGACGCGGTCGTTGGAGCTGCCACTTGGAAGTGGCAAAGTGAGAGAGGAGAGAAGCCCGGAGGCACAGCCTGGCCCGGGTCCCTTCTTTGTTTTCTCCTCTTCCATGGGACCATCTTCACCTTTGATTCAGAATCTGAGCTCTTCAAGCTTCTCAGTGGCCCCTGTCACGAGTGATAAAGTTGTCACTGGCCAATGATTCTGAGCCGGGCATGATGGTGCACACCTGTGATCCCAGCACTCGGGAGGCTGAGGCAGGAGGATCACTGTGAGTTCGAGGTCAGCCTGGGCTCCATAGTGAATTCAAGGCCACCCTGGACTATATAGTGAGACCTTGTTTCAAAAAACAAACAAAAAACAAAAACAGAATTCTGGAAAGCTAGCTGAGCAGCCACTCAACCCCCAAACATCCGCTGGAAACCAGGCCTGACGAAGTCTTGCCTTAGTCACTTTCTCATTGCTGGAACACAATACCTGACATCCCAAACTGAAAGAACGACAGATTTGTTTTGGCTCACAGCTTTAGAAGCTCCAGTGCGTGGTCACCAGCTCCAAGGCAGGAAGGGCATGGTGGAAAGACCTGGTGTAGAAGAGACGAGCTGCAGCATGGCGGAAAGGAAGCAGAGAGTGAACGGCAGAGTCAGAGGGAGCCAGGCCCTTTCCAGGCCACGCCCCATTACCCGCCTCTTCCGGCAAGGCCCCACCTCCTAACAGGAAGTCAGCCATGGCGGCCCAACGATCCAGTTAGCTCCCAAAAGCCCTACCTCTGAGCTCGTGAGGCTTTGGGAGCACGTTCTCCACTTAAACCTAATGGGCGTATTTTTCTCTTTCCTAGGTGATTTTGGGGTTTCCTTGATGTGCCCTATCATGGCCTGGTCATAGGCAAGCAAGTCACTGAATACTGTGGGGGGTGCCAGGCTGCTCCTGGGGCCTGGTTTCTCTCCTTTGATTCCCTGCCATCAGGGAATGTTTTTAGCAGAGCATGTGCATGACGCTTAGATGGAGCAACCAGTTACCTAGGAAACTGTCCGTTCCATACATGCTCCATTGCCTGGTATCATTCGGATCCAGCTGCCTCAATCGGCCTTCTTCCTTGGCCCTCCTTTGACACCCCACCCCATTATTCTCCCAGCTCAGTAGCTCCTAACCAGGACCAGCTACATCATTTGTAGGGCCCCAGTACAAAGCGAAAATGCAGGGTCCCTACTTCAAAAATTTCAAAATGGTGACAACGGAGCATTAAACCAAGTACCCTTCTGAGTGTGGGGCCCTGTACAGTTGCACAGGTTGTGCACCATGAAGCCCACCCTGCTTCTAAAATCAGTCAAAACATTCTGCACATACTTTCAGTGGTCTTTCTGGGGCTACTTGGATCCCAGCTTGGTGACAGGCATGTTTCTTCCATTTCATGGCAATATCTTTCCAATACTCAACATGCTGGATGCTCTGATATTTTTTAGGCTGTCCCTGATGATATCTGAAGGCAGGGCTCCTATATTTTAGGGACCAGGAACTACTACTTTTTTGTTTATTTGTTTTGAGACAAGAATCTCCATATGCAGTCCAGGCTGGCCTTGAACTCACTGTGTAGCATGTTGGGAGCAATGCCACATAATTTTAGGGAAAAATCATTTGATTAGGCCTAGTTCTTCCACCTACAGGCCAGCCATGGCATTCTGAGACTTAATTCCATTTTGACCTCTTGTCACAACTGAGACCTCAGTGATCCTGTGATGCTGTGATGCTCCAGGGCAAGACCACACCTGCGGGAGACACCCTGGGAGGAACCAAATCTTCATCTGCATAGTTCCTCATTGTTCTTAGATTTCCACCACCCCCTAGTCTTTTGTTACACCTTGTTTATCCCAATGTGAGGTACTGAACTGTGCTTTTCATTTGTTTGGAACTTTTTTTTTTTTTTGGTGGGGGG